GTGTTTGCAGTTTGCTGATGGCTCATTTGTACTGTGAATGGTTTGTACTGTGAACGGTATTGATATGTCTGGTAATGTGAGCCAGCAGATTTACTGCACAATTGGCAACATTAGAGAACCCTGAGACACCAGCCAAAACCCAGGATAGATTAGGTAGATTGCTATTGCAGATACAATATACATCTACAGTGTCCTTCTCGGGGCTCTTTTGGATGCTGCTAAATGTGTTTGGCTATGGAACATAAATCTGTTTCCATCTGCATTTATTTACCTTGCAGAGTCTACATAATGTTGATGTGTCATCTGTGCATGCACATGTGCCCATGTGTTCCTATATATGAGTTAAAAGACATGTATATTATGTATCTACCACATATTTTTCAGCTCAAGGACCTCTCACATGTCATTCCATCTGTTCCCTTTTACTGATGGAAAAGACGTGTTTAGTGATAAGTTATTTTCCCCTTATTCTCTTTCCTGAAGGTGTGCTGTTGGTCTCCAGAAGAAAACATAACAAAAACGTTTACACAACAGTAAACACAAAAGTAGCATAGACTTTGTAAATATAAAATAGTGATGTGTGGAGCTGATAAAAGCTTAGGCAAGATTATTCTGCAAAAAAGTGTGATGAAAGCAGAAGTTTCATTAAGAGCAATTTGTTGGCAGGAACTAATATATAAAATTTGCACTTTTCAGGAGATATATTTCAGTACCCAGGTTTTCCTTTTTCCAGTGAAAAGATGAAGTTTTTAGCAGAAGAAAAGCACTGTCCATGAATTTCTTCTAGTTGGAATAACAATTTCCACAGAAAAAAAGCATAGCTTTTATGTTATTTTTTTTTAATGAGGTCTAGCTGTGTGGTTTTCTGGCCTCAGAAAGAAATTTCAGAACTGGCTTAAACAAATATCTGTCTAGATGAGCAAAGCTAAGTTACATTTATGTCATATGTTAAATACTCATGTCCAAAGTTTTTGCCTTGTAGCCTGTATGACTTCATATTTTTTCACCAGCACAATCTGACCCTTTTGTCAGACTGACAAACAGCTCATCACATCATGCTGCCATCTTCAGAGGGGGCTGATCCCTTTTTCTGGTCAAAAAGCTGCTCATCTCACTTGAGATAAGCAGAAGACTTATAACTGTTATGGAAGCACTAAATTTGTGCAGCCACAGTGGGGAAGGACACAGCCCCAGTCCAAAGGTTGCACAATAGCATGGTACAATTATTATATATGATTTTAGCTGAGAAAACTCATATTTGCACTCTGGAAGTGACTTCACCGAGTTCATACCTCAAGGTGGCTCATGCAAACCCAGCAGTTGTTGGGTTTTTTGGGCAGCCAGGGGCTGTTACGGATCTAAAGAGACTAAATTCATGTAAGATGGACAAATTGAAGTTAAAAAAAAAAGGATTAAAATATCCACATTCCCTGTAAATACAGTAGTAGTAAATATCTGTGCCATAGTCACTTCCTCCTCTAAGCTTTACATCCCATGGAAGTTTTCCCAAAATCAAAACACCTATGGTTATAGGTTTCTTTTTTCCTGGCTGAAGAAGACCTGGACTTGAGCAAAAAGCAGTGGAAGAATTTCGACAAAAGTAATTCAGAGTTATATTTCCAAGAAAACAGCCCCTGAATAAAAGGGAAAACAACTTATTCTTCTAATTTTAAACTGAAAACTGAGATTCTAATTCACATTGCTATGTCTCCTCTGCCTAGGAAAAAAGATAGAAAGGCCAGTGGTTTTGCAGACGTACAAAATTCACCCCAAGCTGTTCTGAAAATAAACAGCATCAAAACTAGATAGTTTTGCTGAAATAAAACCCTGCAGTAATAAAACAAATGACTAACACTTTCTATTGGTCTGCATAACATAGAACACAAAACATACATGTAAGCAAGTCAAGATGGATGAGTCATCTTGACTTAATAAAATGTACAAATACTTGCTAAATGTTTGAGAAGTCACATGCCAGGAGCCTTCATCACTTGTTTTGTTAGACTCCTGCTTTGCCAAGTCAAAACAGTCAGAAATCATAAAAAATAATCCACACAATCTGTCTGAAAACACTTTTTTTTGCGTTATTTTTCTTGCTTTACTGCAACGAGTCCCTCATTCTGCCATCAAAATTTTGCAATAGAGAGCATGACTTCCTCTTCATAAGGTAAGCAAATGTTTTGCATTTATCAAGTTCCCAGAGTCTAAATGGAGAGAGAGTCAGCAGACCTCACATGTTTATGTTTCTTTACTGGAAATGAGCCATGGGAAGTTGCAGTTAAAAGGCTGCTGTGTCTTGGGGTTCAAGGGACACAATAGGCTTCAATGACTATAACATTGCTGAACATCTGAAGCTCTGTTTGCCTTAAATATGAATTATAAGTGCTCAGAACCTCTGCAAACAGGGCTGGAAACCAGAAAACTACATTTATTAATGAAACCCACTGCTGGTTCAGATTGGTTCACAATCTTGTCTTCCTATTAAAAAAATAATAATTGCCCTCACCTCTGCACCACCAATCTAAACCACATCCAACCTAGATGTTCAACATCTGTGTTTCTCTGGACACATTTTCCATCTTCTCTTGGAAATTTTGCCTGAGTTCAACTTGGTGATTCTTTCGTTTTTAAAAAAAATTTAGGAGGGGATATCCAGATGTTTAATAATCCATCTGGGTTATTGTGCCAGTTAGGCTGCTGACCACCCTGAAGCTTCAGCTCTGTCCATTGTCTGTGAGTAGATCAAAGCAATCCCAAATGTGCTTTGGGGATGGTCTGACCTTCAGCTCAGGAGCAGCAGACACAGCCTGCACCAGTGGTAAACATGATGTGTTCGGGACATGGTGGGCTTACTGTGCCAATGCATGCACACGAGGATTGAGGCTTCCCAATGTCAGGCACGATAAACAGGCCAGAAAGTGAAAACCTCCACTGGTTTCTGGAAAGAAATATTGCAAGGTAACCCAGAAGTGCATGGGAAGTCCACACAGGTAACAAGAAAAGCTTGTCACTTCAAACAAAAGTAGGGGATACAGCTGGACAGGTGGAAGAACAGTGTGCCAGTTTCCCTCCAAGTTACCTGTGCAGGTTGAAACTGCTACTCTCTAAGCAGAAATGTAATAATCAAGAGTGAAACTGGCTGCTCTTCCCTTCCAACTGTGCTCCATAAACCAGAGCTCAGGTGTGGCCCTTTGGCAGCAGAGATAAATAAGTGATTGAATGTTAGTGGAACAAAACAAGCATTGGAAAGGGCTAAACATTATACACTGAGTTGCTGGGGTATTAAATTAGCTTAATTGGCCATAGATGGATAAAATTTCTCTCATTACCTACCCCTTGTGTTTCAATTGCCATCAAAGGGCTTAGCACAGCTTTAGGTCTCTGCTGTGCACATGTTCAGTGCCTGGGAGGAGTTGGTGCTCTGCTGAGCCAGAGCTCTGCAGTTATAAACAGGAAGAAATATAATTTGGCTTTTAATGTGAAATTTGTGTCCCACAGCCTTCTTCCCATCAGAATTCATCATTTGTCTCTGACACAGGGGAGGAAGCACAGCATTACTGGGAAAAGGAGAGAAGTTGCTCCTTTTTGGAGATGGCCTCTCTCCAGCTTTGCTCTAGCTCAGCCTTTGTGTCCTGGCACAGCAGGATACTGAGCTCCAGTTGTAAGTACAGAAGTCAAATTTTCAACTGACTGATCAGCTTTCCCACAAATGTACCCAGCAGTAACCTATGAATCACCTTTAACCCCAGAGACTGTAGTTTGCCCCATGTGGCACTCCTTTCTTCACTGTCATCTGCAAGCGAAGGTGGCACACACTCCATAGACAACCTTGAGAAAAACAAAAATTGATAAACCTAAATGACTTTGGAGAAGCTTGTCTGAGCAGTATACAGGGCAGTTCTGGGGCCCTGGTGAGAAATAATACAGCCAAACACTCATTCACAGAGGGAAAATGATTTTTCCCACTCTATCTACTTATTGCTGGAGCCTTGCTCAACACCTTCTGTTCTTTGCTTTGGGTCCTAAAAGAGGCCACTAATTGTGAATTCAGATAGATTCCCCATATCCTGCTCTTCATGGTGCAAGCAAAGGCAAAATGCTCTAAGTTAAGCAACCTGTAACTGTAAGAAAATGCATTGACCAAGTGGCATTTTTTTCAAGGTTAGATGAATAGGTGACATTTTCCTGTGAGGCCATAGGGTCACCAAGACTGTTCTGATCTGCTCTGTCTCTTTGAAGGCTGCTTTTAAACACATTTTTTTAAGCAGTCAATGACTGTGATAAACAGAGTCCTTCATTATTTACATTTTGGTGTGTATTAGGCTCAGAAGGAAGAACTATATATTTGTGGGCTTTTTTAATTTTTCCAGTCAAAGTAAGAGTAGTAGGGATTCAAAGAGGACAGCCTTTTCCAGATAGTTTTTGTCCATTGCTAGTCCTTGGATCTTGAACCTTTCAGCACATGTGGAGTCTTTAGTGCACAAATTAGATTTTTATTGAGGGTCTACTGCCTGCCTTCCTTGAGGGAGATGGATAATGACACAGAGGTCTCTGGTAGTCACACCTATACAGAAAAACAAATTATATTGGGGGAAATTGTGTGTGGTATATCTGGTTAATGCACTGTTTTTAATTTAATTTTTGGTGAAATAATGCACAATGTAGTAGGTGTTAAAAATCACTGCTGCCTTAACCTGTGTTTGGTTCTTTAGTGAATTTCCTTTTTTCCTGAACTCACTGCTGGTATCATCCCAAATCCTTGCCTCAGGCCCTTTAAAAATCTGTGTTCCTGTATCAGTGGCTAGATGTTGTATTGTCTCTTTTTAGTTGTAAAATTTTACAGGTGGGAATCCAAAAGAATTGGAAACCTGATAGCTGAGCACTATTGCCTCTGCCAGTAGAAGTGGTGCTTTAGAAAATTCTGTGTATGAAATGAAAACAACACAAAGCTCTTTTACAACCTATTGACATTAGTGATGTTTAATTTTAATTAACACTGATCTTGTGGAGGATGGTAAAGGAGTATCATTAAAACATCACTGTACTGGTAATCTGTGGTGGCAGCACTGGTTAATTTTTCAAAAAGCTTACTACTTGTTCTTGTTCTTGTTCTTGTTCTTGTTCTTGTTCTTGTTCTTGTTCTTCTTCTTCTTCTTCTTCTTCTTCTTCTTCTTCTTCTCAGTGTATATTCCTAAAACACCTAGAAGATGGCCAGATTTCATGAATTGTACAAAAACTTCACATAAGAATGAACAGGGATTTTAGCAATAAGCACAGAACAAAAGGATAAATTTTGTAGAAGATCTAGCAGCCACCTGGGATCAGCTGGAACGTGCACAGGGCACTTTTGGACCAGAAGGACATGCTGCTGCATTGTCTCTGTCTTCAGGAGAATTTGTATCTCCCAAGAATATGGTGCTACTTGTGTGAAGAAGGGAAAAACTGCAATGTTTTGGGCTCTTGGAAAAAAAAGAAAATATGTTCTTATATCAGTCCCTGTTTTTCAAGTTAGAGACACCAATTCTACAAACCCTTTCAGTTATTTTTAAAAACCTTGTGGAGAATATGCTGACTGTTATTAAGCTGTTTGTCTGTTGCAAGGGAAGATTGGGAAGGGTTTAATCTTCACTCAGGGAAGGACATTGTCTTTACTCATAAAACCTTTCCTTTGAACACTCAGGGGTTCCTAACTTGGGCCTGGGTTTCACCCCACTCCTGCCCTATTAAACCCCGAGATAGCTTTTGCCTGCTGCCCAGCCTCGCCCTTCGGAGCTGAGGCTGAGGCTCAGAGACCACCTGGGGCTTTCTCTTCCCACTGCAGGATGGAAAGACAATACAGGCTCACATGTGGTATGGTGTAAAAACAGACACATCTCCTGGGAATTCCTGCCGGGAAGTTTTCAGGAATATGAAAAAGCTAAAGAATATAACCCCACAGCAAAACAAGCTCTACACAGCGATTTATAAACTGATTTTGGAATTCTTTTGTATTTGTTGGCTATTTTCAAGGAAATCACTCAATAATATATCTTTATGATAATAACTTCACTCTATTATGTTTTTAACTACTGATATTCAGCGGCCAAAACATGGAGGGTAAGATTTATACAATTAGTTATTTATTAGTGCTGAAATTTAATGAATAAGACTCTCTTTCCATTACTGGAATACTTAAATGGAATGACATTTTTCCTTTTTGATAGTATCTGCCTTGGTGTCTCCTTCACTTTATAAACAGGGACACATCAAAGATTTTACATTACAGTAAAAAACTCTGAAATATAATTCAGTGCTCCTATATGGCTGTTTTCCTAGGATTTTCAGAATATGGAACTTATTTTCGTTTCTGAGAATCTTAAAGGTCTTAGCACCCTTTCCTTTTTAGTAATCTTCTTTGTGTTTGCTGTGCACTATGGTTCTCCTAATAAAAGAAAATATTCAGACTCCCATTTTACAAGCTTTTAAAAGAACACCAGACTCCAGTGACTTGGTAAACCTCCTTTTTTTTTTTTTACCCAAAGCTTAAAAAAAAAAGAGTAGATAACTTGGGAATGTGTGGCATTCTTATTTGCCTCAAAAGCCTTTGATTTGACAGTATTTGCAACCGCATTTTGTATGCAGTGCTTCAAGACAAGCAGTAACTGGGTCTGCTTATCTGGGGCTCTTGCAGCTCCTTGGTGGGAATGACTCTTTACACAAAATCCAAGCAAAATGTACCTTTGTTCCTATTCCTTAATTGCATGCAGAAAGCTAAGGAATTCTAGTAGTTTTTTATGTAAATGTGGGGGAGCTTGTATATTTTTAATTCAATTTTAATATCTTTATTTTGTGTCTTTGTGAGCAAGATCTTTCATTGAGCCTGAAGGGGGAATGTTTTGTCACAGTAACAATATCATTCATAGTATCAGGGTTTCCGGTTTTTCTTCAAATTAATTTAAATCTATTCCACTTAGAGCTTTGCAAGTCTTTAAAATGACCCCAGAGAATTCTGAATCAGGTCCTAAAATGCTTCAAATTAACTGAAAATTCAATATCAAGAAAAAAGAAACACCACAGGCTAGCCAAACAGTCTAGAAAATCTAGTGAATACGTGACTTTGAAAGTACATTTTCCATTTTCAAAAATCTGTTCAAGTACTTTCTAAATCTTCTCCATTATTTTGTCCCTTGAGTTATTTCTACAAATAAAAACAAGTAATTTCAAAACATGGGACTGGCTGATTATTTTCACAGAGTGATTTCCTCTAGACCTACATTTCTTAAGTCAGTAAAAAATGAAAAGACTGACATTAGCTGATTATATTTATATTATTTATTCTGCATGTAGAAACAGCCTACGACCAAACAAGGTTAATTTTTATAGCAAAAAATGGGAAGGGTTTTTGAGCTAAGAAAATGTGTTTTCTCTGCATCAGCATAAATAACAGACAGAGAAACAGCTGAAATATCAGTGGTGGATCATAAGTCCCTTCTCATGTTAGTCTGTGCAGCTGAACTGCATGATAGCAGCTTTTTAGGCTGTAGGTTTTTATTGAAATGCCTATTGAGTAAAACATAATTCATGCTGCTGCTCGCCCTTAATACAGGAAATAATATACCCATTTAACTTAATCACAATTTATATTACATGTGCATATTTCTAAACAAGTGCTGTAGATGGAGAGTTTGGTAGCAATAATATTTATGAATTACACTTTTAGTTAGCAAAGGAAAATGTGTGACCTCTTACATTTTGTTTGACATTTGAATTTGGTATCCCGTATATGTGACACGGGTGATGGATGCTTATTAACACAGTGTATAAACAGGAAATGCTTCTAAGCTGACCATTTATTAGTGCAGTATGTGTTCAATCTGAAATTTGAATTTTAGCTGCAGTATTCTTCTCTGATGACTGCAGAGCTAAAATAAAGGTGGGTTTCTTTTTTATTTTGTTTTGGATTTTTTTCCTCTTTTGTTTTCCTGCACAGATTGGACAGATTTAACAGTATAAATTTTGCATCCAAATCAATCTTCCCTATGCAACTTAAGTGTATGAACACAAGGACTTTTTTTTGAAGTGTAAAAACCAGAGTCATAGGAAATGTATGAAGTGAAAGAATTTTGTAGGATTCATAGTGAATTTTCCTGGGTAAATAAATAAATGTGTGCACCCACATTCCTCTGTGTCCTGATGTATGCACTGAGCCATTTCCCCCTTTACTTCATTACTGCAGAGAGGCAAGGAAGCACCATTCCTTCCCCAGGAGTCTGACAGCTGATCCACTTTGGATCTGTCCTCCAGGACTGGAGACATCATAATTTTTCACTCACACTTAATTGCTCTTTCTAAAGAACCCACCCTTAAATTCCTGACAAATATCTGAAAAGCTTTGTCAGTGAAAGTTTCAGCACTTCATCTTATAAAAGCAGAAGTAAAACTCCACATATTCAGAAAGTTTCTCGCAGCAGAGAACAAGGATATAGTTTTTTCCTAAAAAGAAGCCAGTCCTCTCCACTTTTCCTGATGATTTACTGGAGGAAATATATAGAATAATACAGAGACACAGTTTCCCTCTCTGTATCCCATTTAAAGTAAGCCCTCAGGAGAGGGAACATATATCTAGTTTTCCTAAGCACAGCCTAATATTGCAAAGCACTTGGATAAAATTTATTTGTTTAACAAAAGAGCAATGACGACATGGTAAAGTGACTCAAAGGGAAGATTTTATTTTAAATATCTCTGTCCAAAGTGTTCTCCTGTATTGTACAGTGCAGGTCAGGGAAATTATTGCCTATGTAAAAAATCAGTAAAGAACTTAAAGCTAGCCATTAAAAGTAGCATCTGAAGCGTTACTGCTAACATTAAATACCTTCACTGAATCCACAGCTTTCCACAGCGCAGGACCCAATCACAGGAAGGCTAGCAACCTGGAAATTGAAACGGGCAGATCTTTAATCTAACATTCTGCTTTTCAGTGGAAAAAAGTAACGTCTTTATAGATGAGAGTCAAAGGTTAAATTTAGTTTGTATCAAATTACAAAAATATGCTTTTGGTGAGGTTAGATTCTCATGCTCAGAGCAATTCAAACTGTAATGAAAGCAAACATTGAAAGAGATAATCCCATTAAAGATGAACTATTCACTTTAACCTCAAATATTTGGTAACTAAAATAAAACCATCCTAGTAGGAGGATGAAGTTCAGCTCTTAAGGGAAACTGGAACTCAATATTATACCTCAGACTGCACAAGAAAAGAAAACAAAACAGCTCTCCTGTTTCTAAAATAAAATGTTATTTGGGGGGAACAAATTAATTCATGTTCTTCTCTTGAGGTCTACACAAAACAGTGGTGACCTTTCTGGCAGTGTGTGCTTGTACACTTCAGGGTAAACCGTGCTTCTCTGCAAACAGCAGCTTGTGCAGACCCAGGAGCCCCACGCTGTGCTGCCGACAGTGGGGAGTGAGGAGCAGGGGATGGATGCTGCTCTGGGAAGCGGCTCAGAGTCATGGCAGGCATCCCACTGCACCTCTCTGTGCCTGCTCCTCCCAACACCACCGGCACTGGGATGTCCTCCTCTCATGGCAGTCCCCTCAGCCGTGCAGCTGGTTTCTGACAGGGAATTAATTCTGATAAAAACCTCGAGTTTCAGCTGAGAATAAAATCTGAACAACCCTGATTGCAGCCTCCCCAGTCTGTCCCCTGAGCCACTCCAGCCTGGCACAAGGAGGGAACACAGTGAGACCCCTAACCTGGGGCTTGGCCTGGGTACTCAGTGTGGTTTGGAGGTCCTGGTAGTTTCAGATTATTCACTTCTTGGAACAAAAAGGGGAGCAAGAAATATTTGCAAAGCCCCATTGCTAAAGAACTGAGCTCTTTAATATAATGTGACAAAGCTTTTGACTTTCAAGAAATACCAAAAAACATCTTTAATCCCTGAACTTCTGATACCCCATTGAAAACTCACCCATAAAAGCAGCCACAGCCAGAGTCTTTCTTCATTCCCCAGAGACCTGGATGATGATTTAAAGAATTTGGGAAGAGTCTTATATTCTTTCCTTTTACAACTTAAAATAGACTGAAAATATTTTTTTTGAAAGGTTAAGAAAAAATATCATAGACTGATATTTCTTTTTTATGCCAAGTTTCAGCCTGGAGAAAATTTTATGGCTGAGTTCTAATCCACTGCAACCCCTGGTTTATAACAGAAATGCTGACACAATGATAACTGCAGCGTTACAATGCTGCTGCTATGATATTTATTGCTCCCTAGTGCCAGCTGGGGTTAATCCTTATTAAATGCATTCATTTTCTGGCCTGGTGGAGAACAGATCTCTCAGTGAGCAGGCAGAGTTTGGGTCCCTGGTAGCGTTAATGGAAGATATCACAGAAGACACAGTAAGTGAGGAGTCTTTAAGGGGGCTACTGAAGGTGTTTTTGGGGATTAAGTGGCCTTCTCCAGGGGCTTGAGCTCAAATCCAGAGTGTCTGTGCTGAGAAGTGTCTTTGCAGCAATGGAACTGCACATGCTGAGAGCTTTGTTCTTTTTAGAATCAAGGAAGGGTATGAGAGAAAATGTGACATAGTCATGTATCTGCACAGTCAGCAGTGGAACAGATCCCACTGATTAAGAATTATCAATCTCCCAGGTGATAGCCCAGGTGGGATATCCAGGTGTGAACCCAAATATCCCAAATCCTTTGCTACTGAACTGTCCAGTTTAATGGTATTGGAAGAAAGGAGGAATGACAAGATGCCTGTTCAATACACACCAACTTATTCCTTCAATACTATCTGAAAGAGTGGAAACCACAGCTTCATTTTATTCACAAGTTTTTCACGTACCACTGATGACTTAAGTTTTAGTTTCGTATTTTCCAGATTCTGCGCCGCGTTAGTGTATAACTCTGAACTTCATATAAAGTGTTAGCAAGTTCTCTTCACAGTTGAGTCAGACAAAGCAATCCTTTTCCAGCCCCAGAGCCAAAGACACCATTGCAGCTTCAGGCCCCTAAAGTATAAACAACAGCAAATTGAGGAGAGCAATCTGGGACAATGGGTCTTCATAACCTGAAACTGTAATTGGACAATTACCTCAATATATAAATGGATTAAAACTTATAAAAATGAGAGAATGTGTGACCTGTTGTCCATCCTTTGTGTAGCCTCAGCTGGGCTCTTGTACTGCTGGGGTGTATCCTTTCAAGGCCCTTTAATAAATACCTCCTTTATTCCTTTAACATTGCCTAGCCTCTGCCCTAGGTAGCCTCCCAAGGCATCACCACCCTCACACACATTTATATTTTAGCAACATAAACCTGAAAATCTCACAAAAATTTCTCCATAAAGCTGTGTGGGACTCTGGGTAAATTTTTCCCACACCAACATGGTGTTTGCTGTATTTATATGGCAAACTGGAGAAACATGAAGGAAAGTTGCAGGTTCATTTTGGAAAAGAGTAGGTACAGTGATCATTTTTTCATTTTGCTCTTGCTCTGGGTTCTGCAGAATGATCCTCAGCTCACCTGCCAAGCTCTCAGCCTGCAGACCTAAACCAAAGGGGGCTGCTTGCTATGAAAAAAATCTCAGGACTGAAGGAGTGAGCATGTGTGCAAAGTTCACCACGAGTTCAGTGAATGATCATATTTTCCCCACAATAATAAATACTTCTATAATTTATAAATGCCTCAGAAGGCTGAGATATGTGGGGGATGCAGAATCAAAGTGGCTTGACAGGAGAGAGACAAAGGAATGAGACAGAGAGTGAACTGACTACTAAAATTCCTCATCTCTGATTTGTTCCTTTTAGGACTTGTCCCCAGAGAAAAGGCTGCACTTTCTAGAGAAGCTTAAAAAATCAAAAGAAATCCTCTGGGCTTGTGAACAGCCAAGAAGAATTTTAAAAACCTTCAATTTGAACACAGAGCCAAAGAGAAGTACTCAAGATTTTCTGCTCTCTATTTGATAGTCATTTTTTAAAATATGAGCAATGAGATGGGGAGGAAAGTCAGGCTTTTCATAAAAAGATTAAAATCAGAGATATGTTTTCTTCATTTCAAGGCAATGTTCTGCCTTGTTACATGCAAGCTTTCTAGTAAAAGAGAACTAAAGTCATTTTCATCAAAACTACTTAAAAGAAAAACAAGGAATGTTCAAGAGAACAGAAACCCATGTTTTAAGTATTAGGAAAAACATGAATGTTTTTATTAAAAAGCCATTTTGAAAGAAATGGGGCTAATTCACTTTCCCTTGATATTCAGAGAAGCTGGAAATCTAAATAAAAATAGCTTTATTTTTGTTTAAAATTTCCACAGGGCAAAATGCAGTGTCATGACCTTGTCTAACAGATGGAAATAGAAAAATGTTCATGTAAAGAAAACAGCCACAGGAACATTCAGAAAGGTGCCTTTAGGAGGCAAAAAAATATTCATTTTCATTTGCCCTCTGTAAGGTACAAAGGCTTTGTATAGAACCATGGACTCCAGGGCAGCAGGACAGACCAAGCACAGGGCTGCAAGTTCTGAGTGCCCACAAAGCCTGGGAATTTTTAATGGGAGCTGGGAGGGGTAAGTGCATGGCAGAGCTGGTTAGAATCAGTGGCATGGAGCTGTGGAAGGACAGGCAGGGCCAGACAGACATTGCTGCTTCACCCCAGGGCTGTCCAGTGCCCCAGCCAAAGGAAAAAAGGATGTGGGGAAAGATGGGCACTATGCACTTGACAAAACTGCTGGCACAGAGAAATTATTAACAGGAGAAAAAGACAATACTAAATCAAATTGAAACATTTGCAAGGATGACAGAAGTTTCTTGATGAGCTCCAAGATCATCAAGTCCAACCTTTCATGGCCTTCTCTGCAGAATGGAGAGGGAAATTCAGAGGTTCCTTGCTTGTAAGGCTACTTAGCCTCCTTGGCCACTGATTTTTTCTCTGCCATCATTTTGAAGAAGAATTGAGCTCTACAGCTGGAAGAAATGTTTTCTCACCTGTTAGCCATTTGATACAGAGAGATTCTCACAGAAATCAAACACAGCCTCTTATCAACTGCTCCACCAGCACAGACTGGTCCAACACAGCTTTGTACATCTTTGAAGTTCTCAGCTTAAGTGAGCCAGGTCGTTTTATAAGGTTGCATGTGAAATTGTCAGAGGAATGAAACCATTTGCAGATGGGGGAGTGATCAACATGGTACAATATCTCACTTGTGTTTGCCCCCATTTCCTTGGGAAGAAAATAAAAGGAAAACGGAGAAAGGGGGAAAAAAAAGTAAAAGCAGTGGAAGAACAGAGAAACTCCAACAAACAAAATTCTTTTGACAAATCAGTGTTGAAGGAGTTAGTGAGATCTCTGGCAAAACCACCAGGACTCTGAAGACAAGCTGACTGCTGCAATATTTATTACTTTGCTTTCATGAAACCTCTGACATCAAGGACTTCCATAGTGACTGATTTTTGTCAGAATAATGCTGCAGGAACTGGAAGTGACAGATGATTTTCTTGGACACGAAGCCCGTGCGTAATGGCATGAGAAAGAGGACATAAAAAAGTCTGCCCTGAAGCAGCTTAATGTGGCCCTGGAGAGCAGAGCTGTTATCACAGCTTACTGATGCAGTCACAGCAAGAGGGGCTTTACAAAGAAATGGGTACTGAAGTCAGCATGGGAAAGATTTCCTGAGTTGTGCTCCCTTACGACAGCCTTGTGGAGGCTGGGGCTGGCAGGAGGAAATGAAGTAGAGGGACGTACCTCCAGAAAAGAAATAGAAACTGGCTTTATTGTGTCACATCCCTCCCCTGCACTGCAGAACCAGAAGATCACATGCAGCAACAATAAATGTACTGAGTTTGACGTGTGTTGCTGGGGCTGTGGCTGGGTTCCAGACCAGCCATGGTACCAGAAGCTTGTGTGCGGATAGCTTTTCAAATGTAATTAATACAGAGCATCTAGGATTATGGGAATATAGAAAAGTTGGGGAATATTTTAACATGTAATCAAATAGTTGTGGAGGATATTTTTGAAGGAAACTAGTGATTAAAATATTAACCTCCCTTGCCCCAAATACATAAGTCACTGAAATTGCTCCAAGCCCCATCCAACCTGGCCTTGAACATTTCCAGGGATGGGGCATCCACAGCTTCCCTGGGAAACCTGTGCCACTGTTTCACCACCTCACAGGGAAGGATATCTTCCTAATATCTAATCTAACCTGCCCTCTGTCAGTTTAATGCCATTCCCCACTGTCCATTAGGGGAGACATCTGTCCTGCTTTTCTCTCCATCAGAAGGTTCCAGCTGAAAATCAGAGATGGAATCCCAGTGCCCTGCAACAGAATTTCTATTTTTAAACCTAAAGGCAAGTGTGGCAGCAAGATAAAATAATCTTCTCTGGATATCTCAGTACATATTCTGTGCTGTACAAGCACATCTTTCTGCTTTGATTGGACCTTTTGGTAGCATAATCATGCTTGCTTTCAGTAGAAATGTTGTGAGGCATATAGTTGCTGTTTATACATTTTGATGCAAAAAGACAAAACCTTTTCAGACCCCAAACTATATCTTTATTAAAATAAGATTTTGCTTAGACTTGCCTAAATATTGGTTGTACCTTTGGAAGTGGGGTTTATCTAAGTCATAAATCTGCCTGAATAAAAATCAGAGCTAAATGCTTTATATTTACTTATATTGCAAGTGTAGAAGATTACCTTCCTGAATGATAAATACAACTCTGTCACAATCAGGTAATGCATCACCCTGGAATGTGCTGCAACTCCTTTTGTCTTTTTGGTTACATAGAAAAGCAAAAATAAGGAACAACTACTGAAACATCCATATGTGTGAGACCATTAGTGGGAATTTATAATTCATACAATCTCATGGAATGTGACAGGATTTCCAAGTACTGAACTGGCAGACACTTAGAGATGCTGTAAATTAACCCACACATGAACCTGCCGACTCTGTCCTTTTTCTTCGTTGCCTCATTTCAGCTGAATTGACAAGACAGGATTTCTCCCTGGATCCTGGAACGTTACATACACCTGTCAAGCAGAAGCTTCAAGTCAGCCCTGGGGAGCATCTTTAAAAGACAGTCCTGCAATACCAATGAATTCTCCATACACTGGCAGTCTGTTTTTTTTAATAAGACCATCGATTTAAGAACACACTGACCAAACCACTGCCATTTTCAAGAACATGCCCAGGGCAAAGAATGATATACCTGGGGCTGGACCTGCACCTCTTCTTGCACACCCACAAATGAGGATAGATCTCAGCAGCAGTCAAAGGGCAATGCCTTGTGTCAGAAGGGAGGGCAAGGAGAAGGTTGTCCAGAGAAGCTGTGGATGCCTCACCCCTGGAAGGGTTCAAGGCGAGGTTGGATGTGGCTTGGAGCAAGCTGGGATAGTGGAAGGTGTCCTTACCCATGGCAGGGGGCTGGGATGAGATGAGCATTAAGGTCTCTTCCTGCACAAACCATCCTATGACTCGTGATAAGGTCCCCTGGCCAGGCAGTGGCTGCTGTGTTTGCGAGGGTACGAGGCTGAGCAGGATGCAGAGAGGGACGCTTCTGCAGGAAGTCTGGCTTTCAGTGAAATACAGCTCCAACCAAGATCTGAGTTACTCTCCTGAGTGTTGCTGATTTCTCCTAGCCAACATTACAGTATCCTGGCCCCAGTGCTTGGCTGCTTGGCACACAGAGTGCTGCTTCCCGCTGCTGCCATGAACAGCCTGCAGGTTGTTGTGAGCAACCGCTCCCCTGACTTCTTTCTCCCAAAGATTCATGCTAGAAGCTTGAGTGCTCAGCTGGGTCCAGGGGACATCCTCTCCACTCCCTCAGAGTTGGGGAGTCACTGGTCTGTACATGTGCCTCTCTAAATCCTGGCTGCCTGTGCAGGAATGTGGATACCAGCTCGGCCCTGGGCTCATGAAGCAGATGAAGTGCTGTCGTGCATTTCAGAAAGAGCGTCTTAACACCAGCAGGACTTTGCTGGCTGCTTTTATGCAAAACCTCCTGTTTGCTTTGTGAAAGATGGGAGGATTCAGCTGAGTTTAAACTGGGCTAAAATATGTCACTGACTTTTTTCTTTTTTATTGTATTTTTTCAGTGTATGCTGGCTCCTAAATTTATGAACTATTTTTAAAGGACTCCTTATATAAGCATATTTAGATGGTTTAAATTTGTTCTTAATAAGTGGAAAGATTTACTAAAACAGGCCTGATGTGATGACTTGGGAGGGATTATTCACCACTGATGCCAATATATTCCAGACAGCCTGAAGAATTAAGCACTCTGGGTGTCGAAAGCAATCTGAGTATCACCTAAAACTTGTACTAATGGAGCTCTGGTCTGCAAGGGGCAAGAGTGTCAGGAATCCAGTGCAAACCAAGGGACTGCAAGGAGGGCAAAGGCAGGTAAGAACAAACTTTTCATTTTTATGGGAACTTTTCAAATAATGATGTAGCCAAACTCTGCAAAGAAATCGGTCTGATAAAGATGTGAGGCAAAGCACAGCTCTGATAAATGATGGGCTACAACTGCATTCCTACCAAGTGCTGCTGTCACTCACTAAGCAAATTTATGGTATTTTATTCTAAAGTACATTGGATTCCAGGGTTAGGAATTTTTCTCTGACCCTCTTATCCTGCTTGTGGTTTCATTTTTCTTCAAGGAAACAGATTTAACCATTTATAAACAGAATTTACTAACAGTTTTTCATTATGATCTCTCAGATGGGAAGGGAGTCCCAATGAACTGCAGACACTTGCACAGTTCATGCAGGTAGCACTGGCATAAGTCAAAGCTGGGTCCTGGCAGGATGGCATTCTCTGTGAGGAATGCTTTCCAGGGAGATAATTCTGGCATTGATGTGTGGAGAAATAACCAGAAGGAATGACAGGAATTATTCCCATCCTATTATTCCCCCGGATGAAGTATGGCCAAATATGAGTAGGATGTTTTTTTTTGTAAAACAGGTTCAACTCAATTTGATATGCTTTTTATTTTTACCTGCTTGGGAAAGTCCAAGTGCCCTGCAGAAGACAGAGGTGTCAAATTATACCAGCTCCTGTCTCTGATCAATTTTCCTGAGTGTTTTCCCAGATAATGTTCTCCTGACAGCTATAGAGCAGCATGAAGGTTATAGTTCAGTAGTCCCAGCTTTCCTCCTCATGGCCACCTGTTATAATGTAATATAGATTGTTAAATACCTATTTAAAGGTGAGCTTGGAATAAGGTTTTTTTCTGTAACAGCTACAAGGATGTTATATTTTTGTTAATGGAGAGAGAAAAGGCTAATTTTTAAACCCAGTGTGGATACTAATTTATTTCATTTATGCTGTTTCCTGTTACCCTCTTTGGTCAAGTACAATTTCCATTCCAGACCATGCATGACCCTCACTGTCACAATGATCCAAATCACACTGACCATTCAGTTCACCTGTTTTGTGCTAAAGTCTTTACCAAAAATTGCTGAAATTTCACTGGCTGTGAAAATGTGCAAGTAAAAAGGTGCGTGGGTTCACTTCCTTTTACCACAGTCACCTGCACATTTTATTAACAAGCAAGAGAAAGCCAACACTTCAGAAGATATTGCAACTGCAGAAACCAGACTTGGAGGATGACTGAAATATTTGTTTCCTGCTAAATGAGTGTGTCATAACAGGGGGCAGAAATGTGAGGAGGAGCTTTACTGGGAGTCCTGACCAAGGTCATCCAGCTGACTGCACCATGAACAACCTGCGGACAAGTCTGGGTCTCAAAAATATCCAAAAGTGCTGCTAGAGGCATTGCTTCTTTTTATTTTTTAACGTCAGAAATCAGCAAGTCAGCAATGTGCCAGGCTGAGGTCCAGGTCTTCCTGGGATCTGTGCAAGGGTGTTTCTAAAAAGACTGTAGAAAGTTCCATTTGGCATATTCTACTGTATGACATAACTAGTGATCAAAGCACAGATTCCAAGTCTTGCTTAACATCTTTCCTTCCACAGCTATAAAAACTGAGAACAGCATGAGGTGCTAGAGGCCTTACCCCAGGAAAGAAGTTCTGTACACCAGAAACATGAATTTATTTTTTTAATTTTTTTTTTAAATTTTATTTTTTGGTAGTTTTTGCTGATGTGTTTGTGAGGAGTGATTCAAAGATGTCTTGACTACACTGAGTAAGAGGTGACTTCAAGACAAACACTGACATAATTTTATTTCTATTTTTATCTATCAAATAGTCACCTTTGAAACCAAGGCCTGGAAAGTCTTGGCTATGGAAATGGCATCAATTCCAAGTCTGGAATCTCACTTTTGCTACACAAACAGTTCCCCCTGCTCAAAATCAGAGGCTTGCTTGGGCTTCCCTACAGCAAAACACCAGCCAGGAAAGCTGAGATACAGATGTCCATTGGACTACACACAATCATTTTTAAAACCATACAGCATGCAGGAATGTCAAGATCCTGATTACAGTCTGGAGGACAGGTACAGCTGAGGTAATTTTATGCTGAGCCCCCATTACCTGTGTTCCCATTGGCAAAGCAGCCTCATGGTGCATGGTGGGATACAGGCTGCCAGGGATGGGATTTTTGTGTTTTAGTGTCTCCCTCTTTGGGAACTAAAGGCTTCAGTGGTACCTGGGTCTGGTCGTAATTCTTGGATCTTCCTCTCTCCTTCTCTTGTGAGCATTAAAAACATTTATCACCTTTACTTACCAGCTAAATTACTTTATTCTACATTATTTCTTCATACAAAATTATTCAGTCAGAAGGTCTGATTCACATTTGTCCACTATGCAGAGCATCTCAGAAGGGAAGTAAATTGTAGTGCTATTGTCAAGTCCCTGGTGATAAGAGACAGTCCAATCTTCCCTCTGCCCCAGCCCTTAGGTATTCCTGTAACCCCTAAATTGAAGGAAAATGAATTGGCTAGATCCATATGAAGCAATTCTGGCAGGGAAAACCACACTCAGCTGAAAGATATGTTTTAGCCTTTTGGATATAATTTCAACTTTCAAGATAACTGTTCCTTTGAGGAGCTCTAACTATAAATCCCAAAGTGCCTGCAAGGAGTTGGGTAGGAGTCAAAAATGCCGAGTCAGGAGAAAATAATTGTTTTCAAATGGTGACAAACCTGCAAGGTCGGCAGAGAGCAGAGGGGCTGTACTGGTGGATGGAGATAGCCCTGTAACTCAGGGCTGTGAGTTCTGTACACTAAACAGAGCCTAACATCTCCATGGGGTGTTTGACTGCTGCAAACACAGAAGGGAACTGGTCTGCACTGCTCTAACTCACACAGCAGAAATTATATTGAAAGAGAATCTAAAGACGTGGGGTATAGACATGGTGTGCAGTGCTAAAACTTTGGCTCGTTCTGGTTTTATTTCCCTGAGGTGAAGAAATGACAGATTTTGTATTTTTTAAATTATTGCAATGCAAATAATTTGACAGCTTGATCTGGAGGTTTTTGTGTCATGAAATGTTGTTTGAAATTGTGCAAGGCAATACAATAATTATACAATCAAGCATGTCTAAGGATGAAGGATAATTTGTGTAGAGGCTGGGAATTTGCCACTGGTGTGGGTCCAGATTCCTTCATGCCTTGGACAGATTCCTACACAGAGTGGGAGGGGTACTCAGGCTTCAGGAATAGCACTACTTTGAAACTGCAGTTGCAAGTCATAAGGAATCAGCTTGAGGGAGCCTGGTGATTACTTTCTAAGGATATCTACACACAAGAAAATGTGCCTGGGAGTATAAATCAGCATAGCTCTGCTGGCTGCAGCATAGCTGCATCCATCTCCTCCAGCTGAGGATCTGGACAAAAGTATTCTGGCAACACAGAGGACTGAAAACTACCAGAACACCTTTAAACCTCATGTGCCAGCACGCAAGAGAGGCATTCAGCTGTGTGGAGTGGACTTCTTTCATCTGGGGCAGTTAAAGCAGAAAAGTGAACTTTAGATTCTCACAATTTTACTGCATCTGTTAAAGCAGTATTGGCTTTCAGCAATGAAATGAGTATTCAGGCCAAGCGTCTCTGCAGAATTTCGGGCACTCCATGAACAGATAAAATTTCAATTGCAGAAACAAGAGAAAGTACCAGACATAAATGCACCAGATATTACATTTAAGGAAAGACAGTGAAGGGGCAGGTTATACCGTGGGAATAGGCAGCAGCTGGTGGCTGACTCTGGAGTTATGACTATGTTATCAATGAGGCCACAAAAAATTAAGAAAATTAGTAAGTAAGGGCAGCCTGCCCGTAGGAAATCCAGGAGGGCTGGTGTGCAGCAGAGAGCAGCTCTGACCTGGGCCTGGGCTCCAGGCTGGGTCCCTGGTTCCCCACAGACAGAGCTGGCAGCAGCCTGGCTCACTCTCTGGTGGCCCCTCGGGACAGAAAGAGGAGGTCCATTGGCAGCCCAGCGAGGGGCCAGAGCCAGCTCCCCCTGCCAGAGCTCAGGCTGCTGCACAGGCGCTGAGGGAAGGGCAGCAGCAGGGCCCCTGGAGCAGCACCGGGCCTTGCCAGGAGACAGCCGAGAGCCGGGAAGGGCCAGGAGCCACTCACCTGTCCGAGCGTCCGAGTGTCCCAAGGCAGGAGCAGGGCAGAGCTGGGCACCGGCCTGGCTGTGGCACTGGCACTGTCCCGCCTGGCCAGAGCTCCTTCAGCCTCAGTGTGGAGAGGTCCTGGGGTCACCTGTGCTCCAGAGGCTCCTGTGTCTTCAACAGGCTGCAGATCTGCTTCCCCCACGCTCAGGGCTCGCTGCACGTGTCTTTTCCCACTGCTGCCCTGGACAGGCCTCCTGCTCATCCTTTCAGGTCACTCAAAGGGCCTCAGCCCCTCCTCTAGCATCCCAAAACACTGTGCTGGGAAGGTCAGCGCTGGCAAGGGTGACAGGCAGAACTGGAGTAACCACTGCACCCTTGTGCTTACAGCCACTGAAATTACCTTCTGTCTAGGTGAGAGAACCTCTCTCAGTGATTATCTGGCTTTTCTGATCTTCATCAGCTGGAGAGCTGCATCTTTGGGATTATCCTCTCAGCATCTTTGCCTACCCCTTAATGTCCCAGGCTTTGGCCTGTTAGTTCACTTATAGCTTGTCTCAATTCCAACCTCATCCTCCTGCAAGGGTAACTTGCAAATAAAGCAAAGTGGGAGTTGCCATGTTAATGTGCTTTCCTTGAGCCCTCGGGGAAAGGTCCTGAACATGATTTCTTCCGCTTGGATAGAAAGAGGAATTTCTGTTAGAGCCTCCATGAAATTACAGTCTTCTTTTTTTATGAAATGTAAACCAAAGTAAATATTACCTTAGAGTCTCCTATTCGTGTTGCAATAAAATGAGACACTTCCTTGGAAATAAGTTTTAAGACACGAGTCTTGTAATGTTGGGATTTATTGGAGTGGAGTTCACAGCTGACCTGAGGTCTGGAGGGTTTGGAAGCAATAGTCTGTGTGAACTTCCCCTTCTCCAGCACATGAGGTGCAAAACTTGCCAGTTATTCATAGACTTCTCCACCCTTCGTAAGCTCGTGTGCTCATATATCTCTCATGGTACATAAAGAATGACATATTGCAGTGAATCTGCTAAGAATAGCTTGTAAAATACATCATTATATGAATCAGCCTCATTAGAAGTCTCCTTCTCTCATGATTTAAACCAGACACAGTACTCACAGGAATGGAAACCATTTTTTTTTCTCTCCTGCTGGCATGCTGTGCTCAACCAAATGTTGAAACAGAAGAAAATAATTCTCTGAACTCAAGGCCAGAAGTAGAAAGTAAGTACTGCATTACCCTGATGCCTCTCTGGCATAATTAAGGTCTTGGGTGTTTCCCTGGATATATGACTTTCCAGCTTCATTAATAAAATATCATGTTGCTCTTCTGAGCAGCACATAGCTGCATTCCTCACATTCTCCCAATCCCCCTGACTCAGGACCCTGTAACACCTCACTTTCAGCATCCTCAGCCATTCCAGGCCTTTCTCCTCCAGCTGCTGCTGTTTATGAAGGGGATTATACAACATGGTGCCTGTGATAGCAGGAGACAAGGCTGGACGACCCAGGAGGCCTCTCTCAGCCCTTTTTTCTGCAAGGACTGGTGCACCAGATGCCACGGCTGTGTGACTCAGATCTCATTCAAATTGCTTGTCTGCTGCTGCAACCACTTGCCAGTTAACTTAGCAAAGGCAGTGTTTGACTCAGACAAGGCAGATGCAATCCCAGGGACACCCCAGGGAAGGCTGCAGCTCTGGGCTAGTGGCTATGTCATGCAGGACTCATGGAAACAAAGGAATGGCTCTGTGCTCCAAGGCAATGAAACAAAGTCTTTCACTCCCATTTGCAGAGCTCACTGACAAACTGCAGGTATACCAACTTTTTATTGTTTCTCTTTTGTCACTTCAGGATTAGACAATGTTGTATTTCTTGCTGTTATTTCTTTTAAACCAGGCCAACACATGTCCTCCTCAGTACACTACCTTATAAACCTCTGGCTGCACTCTTCTGAATCACACTGATTTTTTAATTAACTTTTGTAAGATCAATTGCTCAGCTGCCCTTGGTTGCTCTGGCCTCCTATTGTTTCCAACCATATAACCCAGGTTCTCCCTCCCTGGTTAGCTCTGCATTGTGATCTTGTCACCACAGAGCCTTGCTGGCTGAACACCACCATGTGTCTGTCTTCCACCCAAGATTTTGGGCCAAGGACATCCCCAGGAGGCTTGTCACAATCAAGACACCATGACTTTGCAGGCAAGCTGTATTTATCTTGAGCTTACTTGTCTGTTAGACTCTGCTTTGACTTTTGCAGAAGTAGGTCAGAAACGCAGTCTGGATGAGCATTACTTGCAGAGGTGATGAGCAGCTTCCACTCAGGCCATGGAGGCTCCACAGAAAGCACCACTGCCTATTCCAACAGGCTTCAAACATTGTCCTTCTATCCTGCAGTGTTCTCAGGCCGCTCTGGAACCTGCAGTGCCTTTGTTTGCTGCCAGTGCAGTCACTTCAGTGCATCTGGGAGCATCTGCAGGATGGATTTCAGTGCCACATTTACTTGGAGGCAATGGGCCTGCTGGGATGGCCACAAGCTGCACTAAATAACCCGTGGAGAGACACAGGATGGGAGTCCTGCCCTAGAGAAGGAAGGTTCTTAGACTCCCCTGTGCTCTAGACATGTTATTTTTTTGTCAGTAGGAAATACACATCCCTGATTTTCCTTCTGCCAGAGTTTGGATGTTCTAGCAGGTGATCAGTAGATGGTGCCCAGGGTTCAGCATGGTCCAAAGGTGAAGCAGTGTTTGCAAATAGCTGTGTACTTGCACCTCCCTTGGTGATGTTTCAGGGCATGAAATAAGCACATTTTCTCTTTATTTCTAGACTTGGTCATCATTATCCACACATTTGCCTACTTGTCCTGATTTGAAGGAATTCTTTTTAATAGTAATTTACATAGCTTTCATATCACTGCTGCTTTTGCCATGACAGAAATGGGTTTACTTTTGTCTCTCTCTCACTTTGCTCATCAATAACCATTTTACAAGCCCTGCTGTGATTTAGCTGTGATTTTTATCTTAGCACTGTGCATCCTTTGCAATACAAGCCTTGTCTGCTGCCCCTTGGATTTGAAAGTGAGGATCTGCTTCCCAAAGCTGGGATTTCACAGCTGTGGTCTGACTCTTTCCTATCAGCACATACAAAAGCAGTGAGCACACAGCAAGAGCTCAATACCCACTTCAAACTTCAGCCTTTTCAGCTGGAACAACTGTTGAGGTTTGAAGTTGTTTTGTTAACTTCTTTGGCTAATTGATAACATCTGCACCTCACCACTCTTCCTTGCCTCTCAAGCTGCTTTTAAATAGATGGACAGATAACACTGTGGCAGATCTCAGGTTCTGTATTAGTGATCTATTGTTACACTTTTGGAAAACTCTGTGAGAACTCTGGGGCATCTTCGAATAAAACCTCCTTTATAAAAGGCTCCTTTCATACAGTCTCAAAAACAAGCCCAGAGACACTAATAAACCCTCATGCTATCAATTTGGCATTTCTCTTGTGATCAGATAAAAGAACTTATGATTTCACACCTTTTTTCCCCCTCTCTTTTTCCCCACCATGTTTTCTAAAGGTGGATATGTACACGTGGGCTTTAACATATTGGAATTAGCATTTATTTCTCATTAGTTTTCATTTTCTTTGTATTACAATAGATGGGTCAGGAACTGGTATATGTGATATTTTAGTAAATCAAATCCTTGTATTCAGGATCACTCTTGAAGTCTGGTAATACACAGTGACACCATATAGGTCCCAAGGAGAAATTATTGTTGTAATGGAAATATCATATATCTCATATCCCAGGTCTGATATATCAACTCAGCAATAAAAAGAAACAGGATATTTGCAACTATATTTAAAACAGGGATTTTGCTGTTACTATGAGAACATGGATTACTAAGAAATTTTGGTGAGAAAACTCCTTAATGATTTCATCAATGTGTAACCCCATGAGATTTCAGTTCTCTCACTGCTGTTGAAATAGCTATTAATGCAGTGAAAATCAAAAATAAATGAGCATGGTTCATTGGTATCTGCATGTATATCCCTGAATTAGGTCTCAGTGCAGATCAGATTGTCCCTTCTCTCATGTTGCAGGATTCCCAGGATGGGATTTGGGTTATGCCTAGAGACACGTGTGCCCTGTGGCTTCTCCCCACCTTGACACCTTTCCATTTTGGCTGGGGAGAGGTTCCCTCCTCCACCTCCCTGCTGGGGGATCCCTGTTGGGATGGTTGGTGGTGCTGCTAAGCTGGGTCTGGAGATGTCTGTGATATGCAGGGAGCTGACGTAAGCTGAGACTTGAAGGGTTGATGTTGCTTCAGCCAGCCAGAAGAGCCTCGTGAATTTCCTTGTAAAAAGAATTTCTTAGGATTCAGAGAGACTTGTGTTACATAAGACTTTGAAAGCAACATTTGACACAGGATAGGGCTATCCCCTTTATGAAGTTCCCAATAGAACCAGCACGTTGCCATGAGCACTGTTATTATTGCAATTCTTTTATTTTGTGTTCTTTCAGCACCACCAGCATCTACAAAAAAGATAAAATCCCACATACAGATCTCATAACTTCAACTAATGTAAGCTCAACACATTTGGTCTTAATCTGAATGCCTGGACTGGGATGAGTTCTGTAGGGCTGCAATAAAATAAATATTTTCCTGCACTGAGAACACCTCAGGGAAAGGTTCAATGTCAGGTCAGCAAAGGGAGCTCTTTAACCATATTTTGCTAGACATGGACCATATCCTCCTCTAAGAAACTGTCAGAGCTCCATAGTGGCTGGTGGTTAGGAAGTGATTGAAAATATTCACCTCTTGCTCATTTTAAATGTTGGATTTGGTTGGAATTTGACCAAAGCTGGGCAGCGGGTACAGCCCCAGCTTGCAGCAACAAGAATGTTTCCAGCAGAAAAACAAAAATTATTAGTGAGTGAAGGACTTTTGGTTGGAATTCCCTTTCCTTCCCTGCCCTGCTCAAATTGGATTACTTGCAGGAACAAAGGGAACAAGCAGCCCTGCTGCAGCAGACCAGTCCCAGGTGAGTAAGGCTGAGCTACTTAACAATTGGCAGTATAGGGAGAGCTCCTTTAATTGTTTTATTAAGCAAACCTGACCCCCTGTTCTGCCATTTTAATGCAGGAACCAAGAGAAATGTGATCCACAGATGCATTATAAAAAGGGAAGGCAGAGGTACCGGGGCAGGAAGTTTGCCTTTTTGCTGCAGTGAGACAGTGCCTGAATATTTTGTGACATTGCACATCTGGTGCAGAACTAACCTGAACATCAAAAGAATTTGTTAAGGTTGGTAGCTTTCTATTCCTTTGCAGATATGTTGTTTATTGGTATACCACAGATGAGAAAAAAACCCCACCTTGCTACCAGGTCATTCAAAACCTATTCCTAAGAGATTGTGCCTCACTAAAATTCCTGGTGTCAATACTGCTGCCTTTCTACACTACTGCTGTACAGCTGTGTACTGCTGCAAACTCAAGATAGATCCCTTTCAATTTCCTGGGAACTGACTATGAACCGTGGAAATAAAATGTGGTTCTTTAGGTGAGGATTCCTTAGGTTAAACTGATTTACTGAGCAACTTTCCTAAAGGTTGATACTTTTCTAGTTTGAGAAGTAACTAATTTTCAACTTAAGCATGCATTTAGTTATTGAATGTTCTCTCTTTTGTACTAGA